TCACTTTTTTTTTTTAAACTTACATAGCGTGTCCAGAAAGGAAAGGGAAAAACACTGCAGTGAACCAGTATGTGTTTATAGATGTGAAGCAGACAAAAGGTATCGTCAATCATTTTGCTTCATGAGCAACAGAAGGTACAGAGATACTCCATGAGCAACAGTAGTAGCTGAATCAGCGCTCGAGACAATTTATGCGTGTTCTCTGTGATTAAATTGCCACACGCCTAGAGCATGTAAGAGTACTATAAAGACACAACAATAACGGGAAGAAATTATAGAGGTGTCCAGCTCAGGTCTAGAGATGGTCCAACACAAGTGGTCAGTGTTGTATCATCTCAACCAAAAACCCCTGGCTCTTCTCAAGCTATTCTGGCCTCCTCAACACCTCTTCTCCATGTTTTAGTGTCTTCCTATTGTTTCAAGCAGAGATATTCCATCTTCATGTCCTGATAGGCGAAGAGCAAGAGGAGAAACCTGTATGTCATGTCACGTTCTTTGCTACATGGTGGGACTTGCAGGGTTGTGCAGCGTAGTCTCGGTGTATATGAAAAAGAGAGGTTCCGTAGGGGAACTTAGATACTGTGATGTGAGGACCTGAAAGGTCAAAGCTGATGGTGATGCTCATGTTTCAGACCTGGAGGATATGCAGGATGTTGATACACCTCATTAAAAAATGTGACATGAATGAGGAGGGTTGTGACTGAGGGAGGTTAAAAGCTTTGCTTTGGTCATGCTCGACTGATTTCAGGTTAGCCACAAGACGGTGTCAGAAGGAGACAGCGTGTATTACCAGTTTGGAAAGAAGCTTTAACATTCCTCTCACTTAAGTGAAGATACCTGTACTACAGACTGCCTCCCTCTCAGTTAAGCATTGAGAATCCCCACAGTCAGTGGAGAGATACAAGTATTTCTCGATGCTTTTCATCACCTCCTCAGAGAGACCACTGAAGCACATCTGAAGAACTGTGTCTCAAAAGTACCTGCTTATGCTCATTGACTACAAAAAGCATTTTCATTAACAGCTCAGATGCAGAAGTGTCTCTTGTATCTGTACCAAATCGGGCAAGATTAATCCCACTTTAGGAGACCATCTAATGAAAGAGAAACTCTTGAAGCAGCTAGACAGGGATGGCAATCAAAACGGCAGATGACAGTAGCAGGGCCATGAGCTGATGAAAATCCTCAATCAGCTGGAGGATGAGAATCCTCCACAAGAGCCATGAGAGGGGTAGAAGACAACAGTCATGGAAATGTAAAGAGAACAAAAAGAGTCCATGACAAGTGAAGAGTAAGGTGCAGCGCTGAGCCTTAGCTTGGGCTTGGGAAATGTCATTGGTGCCTCCTGAAAAGGTTGTTTCAGTGCTTCGTGCAGGCAGTGGGATACAGAGTCTTGGGTGGCATTGGCAGAAGGGAGATCCACACAGTGAAAACAAACTGTTGGGGAGGTTGAACAAATGAAACACTTTTTCCTTTTGGAAAAACGAATAAAATAAAGCCATCTGATCTGTTATCATAAATATATATATGAAGTAAGTAAATAAATAGATACAGGTGTGGACAGGCACAAGCATCATCCTTCTATTCAGTAGCTCATGTTCTGAAAACCACTGATACCACAGAAGTGTGCCAGACTCTGGAAAAATTGGCAAAGGGCAAAGGACAAGGTAGAAATTTCCTTACAAAAGTAAGCTGGATTTTTTTAACTTTTATCAGCATCCCTCTGTTCAAATGGTCCCCAATATGGATGTCATTGGTTATATTTAAAGTAATTTGGGGAACAGTCTTTAACAATATTCTTGTCGCAGAAGGCCCCAGTCAGAAGTAAAAAGATGTGACTTCACTTATTGGCTGTGGCATCAATTCCCTCTGCAGTATCAACTATTAAAAACTCTTTGCCTCAGTTTCCAATCGCTAAACAGCGGTAAACTTATGTCCTTTGTCCTGCTAGAAATACTCTGGATTACTTCAGTGTGTAGAGCAGCACAATCCTGATCTCATCTGGGGTCCTGGAAGCACCATGTTATAAATAACAACCGTAACCAATTTCCTGCATTCTTACTAAAAAGTTGTGGGTTGTTTTTTTTTTCTCCTCCTGCCTGTCTCCATATACATATGTATGAATATTAATTCTGCCAAAAGAAGAAGGGGGGGGAAAAAAGGCAGAGAGAGGGGTAATAAAAATTCAGTACATCAAACTGACTTTTCTTGATTTACAATAGGTAATTATCATTCTTCACACATGGCTGGTCTCCTGTTGTGAGAAAGCAGAGCAGGTGGAGAACTGCTCGTCCAATATCCTTCCTCCCGACAATCGCCTCCACCTGCAGACTCCCCGTGCACCTGCCTGGGAGAGGCGTTGTTCAAGACCAGACAGAAGGATGGATGAGAAAATAAATGGAGGCAGATAAGTAGAGGCAGCTGGAAAAGTTGGGTTTGCCCACACTTGGGTAGGCTTGAAATCTTCCTTAGCGTCCACTTTTTTATTTAACTTACCATGGCAATGGCTCTATCTTTCAACTGTGGGACTCAAAAAAAAAAAAACAAAACAAAACAAACCCAAACACCAACCCCCCCCCCCCCCAAAAAAAAAAAA